ACACGTGGAGGGGCGCTTTACCGTCGGCAACGGGTAGTAGGTCTGGAATTTTAGGGGGAACTTACTGAATTTGTAGGGAGGCAAACGGTGAAGGTATAAGGAGGTAGTCGGTAGTGACGAGTGTGATATTTGGCCGAGAGTGAGTAGTGTAAAGTTAATAAATCTTTTGAAGAGTAATGAGTGTAATAAATGGTAATGTAACTCGTCATCATGGTTGTGTGGTTGTTGCATGAAAGTGCACACCTGTGAAAGTGTAAACTGGGTTGGCCTTGTGTGGCAGGTGTGGATTAGGTTATGTGGGGCCTATCTTATACGCCTTACCTTATGTATTCGAGCGCGGGGCGAGTAGGGTGTTACCACTATAAAGTCCCTGCTGATGTTGCGTATTCTGGTTAGCTGGATTGTTGTTTCCTAGGATTGGCGAAGCACCAAGGAACGCATAGTCCAGTGTCGTGCATAAAAAGGACCCTGTGTCACATGGAACACGACGTGAAATTGAATGGAGGTTTAGTAAAGGGTGTATGAGCGCCGCGGGGAATAATGACACTACAACGATTCCAGTTGACCAAGATGATATGCAGATGTGTTGCCAACATATAAGGAAATGAAGAGCTTTGTATATGATAAAGGTTGAGTAGCGTTAGTGATAGTCAGTGTGTTAATGATTGCTGACATTAGTATGCATAGTAAAATGCAACAGTAATGGTACGCCCGCGAATGAACTGTTTTGAATGTGATGTGCAGGTGTGCGTTCGTGAGGCTCTTTTGCATGTTAGATCACACTGCAATGTTAACAGGGTATATAGAAAAATTGGTCTGTTTTATAACCAATAACTGATATTACGGACAGTCGCGATTGATGAGTACGTTCTATTCCACGGAGGAGATTATCTGATTTCAGTGACCATTTGGTTAGTCCTCCTTCTCACAAGAGGTAGGGAGTGTGCCTGGAAGTATGAGCTTGATTGAGATGAGGCAGGTGATGCAGGCAGCTAGCTGACACTAAGTAAAAAAAAAGAAAGAAGGCTGAAGAAGCAGAAAAATTGAAGAGTAGCAATAATGGTTTTAAAAAGTAGTTCATGTCAAATGCTTCAAAAAAATTCAAGAAGTCGCTAAATTTAATAAGATGTAACTAGGAAAGTTGAGGTTACTTGTTCAGTTGTAATTGTTTGTTTGTTAAAGGTGATTATTAAATTGAGGACTTCCCAGCCGGCACGGCCTTGAGGGGGTGTTATAGCTGTTACTAGAACACATTGTTTTGTCGGCGGTCAAATGTATCTGGTAGTGTATAAGCTTGAGAATCTAGGATGAAGTAACGTGGAATTAGTAGGGCTGCTCGTTGAGGCCTTTCTTGTGCTTTTGTTTCCTTTTATTAGGGGTGACCCTGATATGGACTATGCCTTACGTTTAATGGCTTTTTGTTTGTTTTAGTTTGTTTAAGTCATTGTTTTTAGGTTTGGATGTTATTGCTTCGGCAATGATGGCTTCTTTTCATTTTTTTATCGCCTGGGTTGGTTTTTTGTATGATCGCGTTAAAGGTTGGGATTGGACCGTCCTTGCCGACGCTTTCCAAAATCGTCTTTTTATTTTGACATTATCAATGGCGAATGTATTGGTTCTTCCCCCTGTTGGATCAGGGATTGCTTGCTTGAGTGGTCGGAGGTTCTACCGAGGAATTGAGCTGAGGGTGGATATTGAGAAAGAGAGTGTGTATTTTTATATTTACTAAGTAAATGAGTATTAAAACAGCTGGATCTGATTATGTATAAAGATCAATCAAGAGAAATTAATTGGGTTTTATATTATAGACATTTTAGTGAGTATGTGGGTGGTATTGATATTAAATTCCCATGTTATGTAGGCTGTTCTCTGACAAAAATAAATTTGGATATATAGGAGGAATATTAAAATAGTATTTGTTTTCGTAATTGTCAATTTGTTACTTTTAAAGTTCAATTCCATTATTTTTTATTTTGAATTATAATATTCAGCTTATAAGCTGTGTTTCCTCTTTAGGACGGTACTTTGGCCATCCAAATAACAGCTTCAACAAGATTGAGCAAAATGAGTTAGTAATTATTGATCTTCCTTATTGAGTGTGCGCCAAATTGCAACTCTTAAATATAAATTGTTTTATATTTGTGGATTTATTATCCATGGTTACGTTATTATAAGGATGTGGGTGAATTACAGTTCTAGTCTCAAATGTAGCTGTGATTATTTATTCAGGGCATTTAAACTGTGCATGTAGTTCCGCAATATTTATGAATCAGTCTGTGGATATAGTTAGTTTGAATCTAGGTCTGCGGGGCATTTATTGATGAATTTTGTGATTGTTGAGTGGGATGATATTAATGTACAGTAATGAGTATACATATTGTCTAAGTTAGATATGTGTGTCTATGAAAGTTTGAAAATGTTTCCAGGATCAAAAATAAATAGTTACATGAAAGAGAAAAAATTAAAATTTTCATGAGTATGGCCGGCATTTTGTTTACTCTGTTTTATAATCCATAAATAGCTTTATAACACTGCGAGTTGGTTATGGCATGGTGAATTTCCTAATCTGTAAGATTTAGAGGTATCTTTTATAGTTTGTTTGTCTATGCAATTATCACTTCTATCATTATCCTGAACTAAACTTGGGGCATTTTGATGTACAGACTATGTGGGCATTTTCCAGCAAAGGCCAATTGTGTGCTGTCGGCCGGTACGACTTTTCCTGTACGGTGTGTAACAACGTATGGCATGGGTAAAGGGATAGCCGAGTAGCTGTAACCTAGTTGGAATTTGAATTGGTTTTTTAGCACGTGTTAGCTCTGGCTGAGAGGCTTTTGGTGTGGGGGTTATGAGAGGCTGCAGCACATCTTACTGTTAGGCACTCTACTCGCTTGTATTTTATGAGAACTGTTTAGATTATTTAGTTGGCCAACTTTCTATGCATGCAAATTTTGTGCTCTGGGCACCCGGCTTTGTCTGGAACATTTTTTTCATAGCCGGGTGGTATAGATGTATAGGTTAACATTTCTTAGACCCGTCAATGAACATGGAGTGCTCATCTGGTATTCTTTGGCCAACAATACTAGTTTAAACGAGGTCGTTTATCTTGTCTTTTGCATGAAGCTGTCCAGGTCTATTAGCCTCTCATAGGTTGGCTCATATAAGGAAGTCGGTAGTGAAATCTTAGAAAATTCTCTCGAATTGTCTTGGTATAGGATCATGTGAGAATTAGATGGTTGTTTTGCTAGAGGGGCATTTGTCAGGTGTATATGACTTCTGGTTTTTCAGATTCACCCTGATTACGTATTTCTTGAGGTTATCGGAAAGATCGTGGGCTCGAGCACGGTCCCTAGGCGGTATAGCGTTTAACATAGAGCTTTCGTGAACCGTGCTTGCGATCATGGTCTCATGCGGCAGGTGTAGCCGATTTGTTGAGAGGATAGGATAAATAAAAACGGGTTATTGTTTCTGTACTTGTGTTCTCGTGTTTCGTCACGGTCTTTGGCACTCCCCTCTTTAAGTCAGTCGACCTTTTTTTTAAACGTTTTTTATGCATTTGAAGCAGGACTTTGTTTTAGACCATGCGGGTCGTTCTTGATATTCTCACGGTATAGCCTTGGGAAGGTGTGTGTTGATGCTGAAATGGGGACATTTCCGCCCCTTCTCCAAGTGCTGCCGCAGTGTTAGCTCTTGCAACCCTTCAGGCACTGGGATGAAAAGGAACCCCCCGTTGTTTAATTATCGATTGTGGGTAATATCAAATATCCGAGGTGCTTTCTGCGCGTTTACGCCGGACTGTGCTCTAAGACGTCTCTAGGTACCGCCCAGCTTGGTTTATCTCCAAAATTTATGCTTACAGCCTACTAAAACCATTCATTTAACCGGAATGATTTAGACTCCTTAACCTTTTGTGTCATTTCTTATATAATATGGTTCTCAAGTTACTACTTTCTTATCACTCTTTTTACATTTTTATTAATTTTTATCTCGTGTGATGAAAGTTGATGAATGTGCTGCGGTTTGTTGCGGCTCATTTGGGGATACCAAATTTTCCCGGAAGGCTGCCATGCAACCAGGGACGGTTTTCGCAAATTGTGCGGCTTGCTGCCGGGTCATGTGGGCGCTTCGAAGGAACCCGTTGCTGAAGCCGCCGGCCTCCCCCAGCCGAGGTCGGGCTGGCAGACGTAAATCGCGTGGAGGGTAAGAATGAAAAATAAAAGGGGGGGTGGGGTAGAGAAAAGTTCGGACTGAAGTGAACACCGCAATCATGGTCACGATGTATTGGTCTGCGTCGGGGGGAATAGGGGAAGTATTTCTACATGACATACTTCCTTGCGTGGGGTGGGTGGTGGTAATTAGAATATAGCAACTATCGGGAAAGATACAAGTGTTGGCAATAATTTAGGCCTCCCATTCATAAATCGTCAAAATAAATTATCCTCACCATTGGAGTATTTGTTCTATTTTGAACATAAAGCATAGAGGAATAGAGCGAGGGCAAAATAAATAAGAGGAAATTTTTGCTGTAATAAGGTCCCGATAATTAATTGAATGAATCGATGGGTGGACACTCTCGAAAAAACACAACAGACGCAGGTGGAGTTAAAATAACGACTGACTTAGTTCCGAAAATCAAGCTTGTGCTAACTGTTCACTGCGTAGTATAGGAGATATGAAAAGGTGATAAAAATTGACTGCGCACTGATGTTGGTGTGTTGCTTGGGGTTTGGATAGCATTGGCGTAGTGTCTGTAGAGGCTGGCTCCTAAACTATGTTGTTGTGTTACTGGCAGATGAGAAGGTTTTCCTTCAAGGGCTATGCGGCTTGTGGTGAGAGATTGCTCAAGTTGCTTTATTCTC